TTCATACTGATAAAAATTGAAAATGGCTCAAAAAGAACAGCAAAATATAGGATGGCAAGAGATAGGTTTATCGGCAGGCTTCCATTAGACGTAATTACAAATGTTCAGCTGCTATTGTAGATTTTTCTTTCTTCACAGCAGTTCCTTTTTCCGTTGATTAGAATATATAAAAWTTTTTCAAATCTCGAGTCTTTAGAATTTACTTTAGAAAAGGAAGACAATATAAAATATTACAATGAATGGAGAAAAGGTTCTAGAACACCTGGTCGGTGCATGGGCTTTAGGCTATAACATACAACTGGCTTCCACACGTGGATGGAAGGGCGCCTGAAAACTGATTTTCAACTCGTATACTTCTAACCGAACTGTTATGTAAATATAGACTTAAACCTGGCCAAGAACTGGTCAAGATTCTCTTTATTTGTGAACATCAAATAAAAATTACTAAGTCAATACAAACAACAACAAAAAAGACAACAAAACAACAGATTGCAGCGTGAAAACACTTGTAATGTTTTACCCCTTCCGACTATTGCGACATTTCTAAACGGGGAAAAAATTGATCTTTTCGAGTTGTTCGAATCTTTTAAAATACCTATTGTCCTCAGTCCCATTCAGCCTTTTCCACTTAGTACGAGCACATATGCTTGATATTGTCAACATTCTCGTTCTAACGGGGCAAATTTTAGTAGGAAGTTTAATTGTGAAAAAAATAAAAGACTTTTGTGACTTTAGGGATATTTTCTAAAAATTGATCATTATAATACCCTTAAGAAAGTTACCTTGAGAGTGGCTTTGATTATTCATGAAGAAAATACACCAACAATGGATAACTGAAAAATATTCGATTTCTTTAGCCGTTTATTTTTGTATAACAACTTTAATGCAAGGCCAGTATAAGGGTCTGTGAGGGCAGCTCTTTACTCGAATGGCGCCAATTGTAACAGATTGGCTTTAATCTTCTTAGCCATATTAACCTATCGTTAGACTTTTAGACTGGGTACAGAATATAGAATTTTATTCTAAAACAACAATAAAGCCATTAAAAAAAGAAATCCATAAAAAAATATTGAGTCTATCTAGCGGTGCGAAAATCAATATCTATTAAACTGCTACCAAATAATATAAAAATTAGCACCTTGTATATATTCTTTTTTACGAAAAGAAATTAGATTTATTTGACTAGGTGAAGTTTGATATTAGGGTTGCGTTGGTGACGAAGGGTAATCAAGAATATTCAAGCTTGTAGTTTATACACCAGATCAAGATAAGTCCTAAATGTTCGATAATTTTGTCAATTGAAAAGCGAAGCACCTTCTTTATACCCAATGCCAATATCAAATATTCCTGAATTGAAACAATAAATGTGTAACTTTAAGTTTGAAATTATCCACTTGGAATCGTGAAAGAAGTACGTTTATCATATTGATATTGTGAATATTTAGCCGATCAGTAAACTAAAGTCGACTCAAAGACCTTGATAGCCTAACTAGATCTAAGCTAAAATCAATATTTTCTTGTAAATTTAGTCAAATGTTTACTAAGCTTCGATAACTAGATAAATACTGGTAATTTTTGGTCTTTAAGCACGGAATATATATCCACATATCTTTCAGTTATCTATTCTATCTTTATTGCTTTCATATTCACTCGTTTAAATCCCTATCTCACAAATCTTATTTTCGACGGATCGAAATAATTTTATCGTAAACCTATTTGACAAAGATTCGCGACTTCAGTCTTTCCAAGTAGTTTTCCTCCCATAAAAACCATCTTAAAACCCACATATACGTCTATTGTACTAAATCTTAACACAAAAGCACTTGTTTCCTTTCTATGCAGCCACATTCAAGCTAAAATAGAAGTTATATAAAGAACTTATTCCGGGATTAGAACGAAAGGAGTAAAGTGCCCAAATCGATTAATCTAGCATTTTGGTCTTAACAATATATTTTCCCGCGATAATCAAACTTGTATTTATGAACACGTTCAAAGATAGTTTTAAATATTTGCATAAGAGCTTTGCGTACAAGGGGCTTTTATGTAATTTATTTGAGTTGATCTTAAAATATAATATACATTTTTTTTGTAAAGAATAAGATGAGTTGTCTCACCCCGGGGGGAAGTCATTTCCTTTCCCCATACAATCAATCTTCACCGCTATCGTAACTAAAATCCTCTTCTAATTCACACATTACGTTCGTCTAATATCACTATGAACTAAAGAGCTAGAGCCCTTGAGAATTCGACCGTTATTGAAAGAGAAAAGACAAATAAACTCCAATATAACGACTACTCTTCGTGCTGCTATCGAAATCATCAACAACCCGAAAGCAGAGACAGATTTTCGACTAAAACAAAAAACATATATTTCCATCGTCGTAGACCAAAAATTATACAATTTTGTTTCCAAATTTTTTGTTAAAATCTAAATGTTTCTATAAGAGTATTAGTAAACAAGTTAATGAATAAACGCTTATAAATTATTTGTGGCCCATTTAAAAAAAGAGATTTCTTTTTTTTGCTTGGAATCACCCAATGAATGAAAAATCGGTTTTGCTATTCTCTTTAGTAAACAGCTGAAACACGCTTTTGTAATCTTTCAGAGTTCGTAAATATTTTATCGAAACAGTAGTTTTAATATCCAATTTTTTTTTTCCACTTTCATACTACTGCTAGTCTTTTTTGCGATTTAAAACTCTAGTAACTGTTTTTAAAACAAACACTACTTCCTAAAGGAGTGAACGCACATCGCGAAGGACTTAGAATGACAATTCAGTCTTGCCGTTGGCGATGGTGAAGGAAAATAAAACGTTCTGAAAAGAAGAGAAAAAACCGCATTGTTTTATAGTTTGTTTTAAAAATATTTCTGGTTGCGTTGTTTTGAAATATCAGTGATTTGAGTTATAGTGGAGATCTTGTGCAAGACAATAGCGGGCGAACTTTCGCACAAAGAGAGGCTTGCCACAAAAAATCGACCTCACTTCCAACTGCGAAAACAAACGTAAAAAAAAGCTTTTGACCGCATAAAGAACCTTTAGTGCGATCGTGTGGCGTCAACTGCTTAGATAATTTAGGTTATTTAGCTTGAAGTGTACCGCGTGGCTTACATTGAATTTTTAAAGATTGACGAAAAGTTCAATGTGGATTGGTGCCTCAACACTGATTGTTTGTATCCGCTGAGGACATTTCAAGTCTTTTCAATAGAAAACACACATACAGTTATGTTGGGCTTAATTAGCCCGACCGTTATCAATAGGTATTACTGTGTAGAGGGCTAAACTGTCGACTTGATCACAAATTAATTCGTTTTACGACCAAACAAACAGTCTTCACCTCACAATAGATCTATTTTTTTGACCCTTTAGAAAACCAAAGCTTAAAGCTGACAGCTTTTCAAAGGAATAATCCTCGACAACTCCGTTCCTTGTTTGGCTTGCTGAAAAGTGTCCTCCACGAAAAGAACYGTATGCGTTTGATGAACGTTTTGTCAGTGATTGTTTTGACGAAAGGCCGTGTTCATCTTCCGGCTAGTTTGCCGATCACATTTGCGATAAGATAGAAAAAAATTGAAAATAACTTTTCGCCTCTCGAGTATGATAGCGCTCTGCGATAGCGCAATCATTAGAATAATAACAGTACAATACAATTCACTTGAAACTGTCAGTCTTTGAGAGATCTAGTCGCGGTGACTCCACGTAATTGCTTTTCAGTGGTTTGTGTTCACTCCTCGTGAAATCATCGATAATTCGCTCGTCTAAACGAACAAATCTAGGGTGATTTCTTGTGGGTACATATTTAATTTAAAGATATGGTTTCTCATAAATGATCCTATTATGTAGCTATTCCAACTTCTGTGATGGCAATATTCTCATTCCTTTGGCGGAACCCCTTATGAAAACACCTTTTCAACACTCTCTTTCATGAATTACTAACATAACTAGGACCTCCTTTGAAAATAATGTTCGCAAACAAAGGATTATTATAAAAAAGGAAATAAAACTTGTTCATAAAAGACATTTATTCTTCAGTTTCCTCTAACGCCTCAAGCATTAAATCCACACAAAAACCAAAAGCTTGGAATTGGAAAATGCAAACGAGGCTTATCCAGAGATAAAGTAATGAAAAGAAGCAGTAAAAACGAAATCTATATCGTTATCCTAATTGGGTAAATTGTGAAGAAAAAACTTCAATAACTTCGCTATTTAGATGAACATTAGGAAAAAACACGTTAGCTTGGATGGAAGGAAAAGATTTGCGCCTAGCGATAGGAGGACTACTTACTGAACGCGGCGAACCTTTCTTGTGTGTTTATGTCAAAATTTCTTTTCCAGTTACCAATTTCAGTGGCAAGACAAAGCAACTCGTAAGCAGGAGGTATTCTTATGCTAAACGACTGAATAAAAGGCCTGATAATTGATCATTTGTAAGGCAATTCGCTTATGAAAATGACAGGGGCATGAACTGAATCGGATGTGTAGGTTATATTTACTTTACTATATTTTCGATATCAATTAATAATTTTCGCCCGTCCAAGTTGAATATTAACAATTTGTTTGACGAGATCTGAGCGAATATTCGGACCACGCTCTAAAGTACGCAGCCGTTAAAATTAAATCCCAAAAAGAAAGAAAAAAAACTGATTGCTGTTAGAGTCAGCGTGTTATACAAAAACCTTTGAAACGCTAAGATATCTGAATTTCCAATGTATTGTTTCCACACAATAGGACTTCAATTGGTGCCGAAAACACAAAAGTGGACCATTGTGTAATTCCAATACGAGAATAGAAATGTATTTACAAAATCTAAATATCCCTTTGAAGAACCAATCAAAGAAATACACCCTCAATATGACAATTCTTTGCTCGGCACTCCAGGGGAAATTTTCAAATATAACATCCTTAATTCTAATTGGATGGCCCTTTTCAGTAAATGACGTGTTGAGAAGATTTTTGAATACAGGACACGACTCAATTACTGCACACGCATGCTCTTGTTTTGGTGTGTTTGATGTTACCGCGTTGCCGACACCAAGCAAGCTCCAGTCTGAGCTAAGCCATCAACGAGATAGGTTCTCTTCTCTGACCACCTAGAACTTCCTGGGAGATACATAACTGACGACAAGGGGAAAACCTCGAATGGAGATGAGTCTGACCAAAAATATGGAACATGTCAAGCGACCAATGAATGCATTTATGGTGTGGTCCCGAGAGGAGCGTAGAAAAATTGCCCAAGAAAACCCAAAGATGCATAACTCGGAGATAAGCAAGCGACTTGGAACGGAGTGGAAACAGCTCACAGACGACGACAAGAAACCTTATGTTGAGGAAGCCAAAAAGCTCAGAGCACAGCACATGAAGGATTACCCAGATTACAAATACAGACCACGACGAAAGCCTAAATCGCTGCTGAAGAAGGCTGATAGGTATCCTTTCCACTTGACTTGCCTCCCAACTCCTGAAGAAATGGCCAAATGTGGCTCACTCCCCTCGACGACGTCCTTGATGACTGATAGCTACTCTTCCATAGGCGGAAAAGCCCGCTCTTTTCTACCTGTTTCAACGCCGTATCCGTACGACATCAACAGTTTAACTTCCGTAAGCCATGCGTCACTCACAGGTTCGAGGATAGGCGAGCGAGGTTTAGAAATGCCGAGTGCCATTCGACCTGACATTTTGTCCAGTGGACAATTATACCAACATGGTGTGTATCAAAGTGGGCCAGCTAGTAACTCAAGTTTGTTGAACGCTTCTGGAGTCTCGGTTCATCCTGGTGGGCAACTTAGTCCCCACTCGCATCTCCACGCTGTACAAGGCGCGAACGGACAGTATTCTATACCTTGTAACTGCTCATGGCAACCGCAGGATGTTCGAAGGCCAGTGGCGTACTTGTTACTCTAACTTTGAACATTTTCTCGACTGCAATCTATTTATCAAAATGTTGTTCTATGTATTTATGTACTCAAGTCCGACCGATGTCCAAGGACACACCGTGTAAATGATCGTAAAATGATGAACATATTTTTATTACCAAGTATACACAAGTTGATAATACTTGATTTTCTTTGATGAATTGACGAAGACATGCTGAATTTGTCTAAGGTACTGTCGAAATAATGAGCTTTTTAAGGACATACAACTTAAACTAACGACTGCTTGAGCTCTTGCTTGAGTAAATCGTGTCAAGAATTCACAGATTACTAAAACTTACACTGTGAATATTAAACAATTGAAGCAATTGTGAATCATTTCGATGGGTTAGTGGCTTCTTTGCCCGTCTTTATGGCTCGAATGATGGCTGTTTATATGAGCCTAAAGCCATTCTATATTGACTATAAGTGAATTTCATTTGTAAATTTGAATTTGACAAAACTAACCTAATATTGCTAGGCAGTTGACACATAAAAATTAGCAGTCAATGTAATTTCAGTTTGTTTTCTTATCTTAGCTGGGTTAGAGTTGGGCCTGAGACAAGCTGTTAGTTTTGAAGGTTTTTTGGTAATGAAATGGGTACTTTATGCGCAAGTTAGTCATCCTACGGAAACTTTGCCCTGTAAAGACCACTGTGTCCTCGCGCCTTCATTATTGAAAGGTGTTAAGTATCTAAACGTGGTTTATATAAGCGCATACTTCTGCTGCTTGGATATTTTAAACTCCCCGGGATCATAGCATTTGAACCGTGAACGAGCGCAGGTAGCCACTTCAAACGGTCTTTGATTTGCAATTCTAGTTCAGCGCTTGATCACAAAGGAATTTGTTTCTGTTCAAAACAAGCTAGCCTGTCGAATAATTTCACCGTAACACCAAACACACGGTATCCCGCTAAGAAAATTATTTCCTGAACGCGCAACTATATAGCGGAAGCCAGTGTAATCTTCTTTCTGTTTGCTATATTCTTTAGACATGGCTGAGGCATTATTGAAGAGCTAACAGTTTTTCGTGCGTTTCGAGTCCTGCTGGGGCCAAGATCCAGCCACGCGCGCATTGAAAATCAAGGACCCGACTAGATGGTAATTATATAAAAGAAATAGTTGAACAAGAGGCGAGAATAACAACATAATCAAAAATACATGAGGTGATGAATGAAAAGGATGACATAAATAAATAAATAGACGATCAGGAGAAGATAAAATGAATAACAATGGTGAATGAATTACAATTGTCTTAATACCTATATCACCATAACAATAGATTACATCAACAATAGACAATAAGTGAATAGCGGCAAGAGAAAGACTTAGGTAAATAAACCAAACAGGAATGAAAGGAATGGTCAGCGATGGGCGCGAAAGTGATGAAAACAAGTTTGTATGCTTATACTATGTTTATCGATGCTTAAGTGAAATACGTCGATAACAATCGGTTCAAAGACCCAGCCGCTTAGCCTGTATCTAAAATAAATATCTTTCCAAAATGAGAAGGAATGGCTTTCAAGTTTAGACAATTTGCTTATTAAAGAACGAATATTGAAATAAAAAAAGGCTGTCGAGTTTCTATGCAACCGAACTCTCCTGAATGAATTTGTCAGCACTTTTCCCCGAGAAAAACTTATCGCTTCAAATGTTTTAGACAGATGGCCCATAGCTTCTTTTATGAGGTTTAGATAAGAAAAGAAAAGAGACATTTATTTGGCTTAAAGAGGCAGAGTCTCCGATGGAAATCGAAGATCCCAATTATGTCTGTATTGTTTTAACAGTACTCTATAACTCATTTGTAAAACAATCCTAACCAGATTTCTCTTGTAGTTAATTTTTCACGGTCCTAGGAGTTAACGATTCAACAACACATTATGAAATATATAAAAAAATTAAATTCTTTGCTRGCTTATTTTTATAGCGTATTTGTAATTTCTGTCATTGATTTTTATTTATTTATTTATTCATTCTTAGTGAGCGGTAGCGGCCTTTACCTAAACGATGGCGGGCTTTTCTTCTACACACAAGATAACACCCAATGATTGAATAAAAAGGAAAGCGTAAAAAAAAAACGATAAATGTCGGCAAACACGGTTTATATACACACGCACTGTGGCGGTGTTATTAACTATTGAAATACCTTATCGTTATATTATACATTCTCTTGTGTAGGTTTTTCCTTTTTATGAGGATTGTAATAACAATTTTTTTGTATTTTCAGTAAAACATTTGTTTGTATGTATGTTTTATTTCGGTGCTTTTTCCATTCGACTTCCATCCATGCCAATTCCTGTTCAAACGGTCACGTCTCATTTACAAATTGTATTATACAGCTTGAGCTGATTTGTTTCAAATTTATATTGTAAACATCAAAAATGGTTAACTTCGAGATTTTATTTTTAAGTGTGTGATTTTGCTTCGTTTTTTGAATAAAGGGAGGAAAATTGAAGGTTCAATTCTGCAAGTTTTTTTCATTTCGTGGGACTTCAACGCCTCTTTTTGTTCGTCAAGAAACGAAAAGAGAATTAAAGTTTGCACGAATCTTTTGATGATTGTAAAAACCTATATATACGATTGTTGTCATGGCTTTTTAGCGCTTTCCTCACTTCCTTTTTGATTCGCAAATCGCTTTCAAAAACTAACAAAAAACGAAGAAAGACAAGCTTAGCTTTGTCTGATTCTTTTATCAGCGGAAAAGAAAAAAGAAAACCCGAAAAAACGGTAAAAAGAAAGTTCATCCGAGTAATCTYATCTTTTGTGCCTGTTATTAAACCAAGAAGCAAGGCTCTTTATAATTAACTTTGGTACTTTTTCCTCCGAATGTCTATGAATTGTTTTCCTAGACAGATGGTTCGAGAAAAGGAGAGAATCGGGGAAAAAACATTTCTTTAGCCCACCGCCCGCCGACTTGAACACTTTATTACTTACATAACAAAAGCTTAAAATGAAAATCAGCCTGGCGTTTGATTCTTACAAATACAGCAATTACTCAATAGTGATAATATTAGAACAATAGCCTCATAGGAATCAGTAGTTTTTGATTCATAAATCCCATATTTCTTCAAAAAACGTCAAATGAAACATAATTGATAAGGCAGAGTAACTCGGATGGCATTGACCGATGTCCAATCGGTTGGACTAATAAATTATGCAGGAATCTTTACATACTATCTAATGAAAAAGTCTCCATTACAAAAATTGTCCCAAACAAAAACGCGAAGGGCTGCTTGAGGATGACAAATAGGAAAAAGAAACCTTGAGGGTTTGTTGATAGGTTTTTACAGTTCTTTGTTAATTCTGTTCATTTGAAGTGAAGTTAGTTATTGCAAATTACAACTCAAAAATGGCGGGTCATTTGAGGCAAGTCGAAAAAGTGACACTCAAAAGATCTTTATAATCATTTCACAAAACTGAGAATTCGGGCTAATAACCTTATGAAAAGACACCGACAGATATTAAGAGACCTCGAATTGATGAGACATCTAAGTCATAAAAGCTTTGTTTGAAATCCCAAGTAATAAAATCAAACTAGCCCTGTTAGATTGTTTGTTTGATTCCACGACTTTTACACCTTTAATTTTCAATAACGCATATTGTAAATTTTAACAAAACAACCGACAACTCACAGAAATGAAAATTTGGCCTCTCAAAGAACCTATTCAATCAAGAAGTAGATTAAAAATACTCCTATTATAGTAAGTTTTATTGTTTATTTAGATTTAATGCGAGTCTCAAGAGTTTCAAACCTATTGGAAAAAACTCATGTTTTATAAAGCCACTCTCGAGCTTGTTCAAATTATCGTTTATTCAAATTTTTTTACTCTTTTTCATTCACGATACGATTTTRAAAACTTTCTTTTATCTTTCTTGTCGTGTCAGCTGTAAAACATAAGTCCTGGAGGAGTTGGTTTTCAATATTTGATAAATTACGTAGTGATTTGAAATTGAAACATGATAATCTACTTTTAATACCCTAAGAACTAGTCTTGTTATTTTAAATCAAGCTTCGTTTACGATTTAATGTTCGCCATAAGCGCGTGGAATTCTTCGCTATAAAAACAAACCAATTTTAGATCCTCAAACTTTCTAAAAATAAACTTTAGATTTTTAATGTTCTTCTTACCCTCAAGTCCTTTAATTGTTTTGGGAAGAATAAAACTGAATATCGTAAATGTTAAAACTAGTATTGTATTATTACTGTTTTGGTTCATCGAAAGTTTAAAGGGTTGGGCTTCCGCTAAAGTACGAAGTTAATGAAATAAGAAAAAGTGTCGATTATTCTTAATTATTGGTTTAGATTCTGAAAACAATTTCTTGGAAATACATCTTCGAAAAGCTTAGAAATAAAATTCAAATTGGAAAAAGTATGGGCCAGTTCTCTTTATCGAATTCTGACTGAAAGAATTACCGCAATTTCTTGGAATTACAACTTTAGATGACTCAACAAATAAAGCTCCTTCTTATTACTTTTATCATTATTTATTATTATTATTATTATCATTTATTTTTTTACTCCTTTACTATTTTTTCGATTCCAAAAATAAAGAAGTGAAGAATGAAGAGAAAAGAGACGAGCTCATCATGAGGAAAATGAATTTTCTACGGAATTCGATGTTTTCTTTCCTTCCTTTGATTCAGAAAAAAATTAAGCCTCTATATTTAATTAATGTCAGAAACCCAACGTACAACTTGAGAAGATTTCTTTGCACGTGACGGAGGATAAGAACTTAGAACTTCCTCAACGAAAATTACCAATTATCCAGGAGATCATGACGCTGTTAAATGTTTAGGGCTTCTGATAAAAACATATTATTGTAGAATTGTTGTATATGACAATCTTTCTTCCTGTTTACCTCTGCAACTGGTCGCGTAATTTGAGCGTGATTATTTCGAAAATTAAACTAGTATTCTTCACATCATTTTGAAGTCTACAATGCTTAGAGCAGAAATACAGAGTTTAAAAAATAACGTATATTGTCATTTATCTCTTTCTATTCAGGTTTGAGAAAGGAGAATCATAGTAATAGTAATTTGTGAAGTAAACTGGGGAAAAAAAGCGAGATGAATTACTGGTATTTTTCGATTTTGTTAATGACAGTTTAGACTTCTGGTCAATCAATCCACTTCCCGCCCAAATGTTTGTCTCGACATGAATAAAAACTTCATGACCTTGAAGGATGTTAGAGTCCAATAAATTATTGTTGATTAAATATCAACAAAAGCCGTTTTAGAATTTGCTTGGTTTACTGATTACAACCCTTTGTTATTGAATAAAAAGAGAAGTTCTCGAAATATCTAGCAATTAAGTATTTTGACTACTCATTCACATGAAAAAAAGAAAACCACAAAAAAAGTAACAAACATTTTTGTACAAAATTCACTTTTTTCGCTATAAGGATAATGTTTTGGGTTTTTGGTCGTGTCAGGTAAAAAGAAGGCGTGACTTTAATTTTCCATTTTAGACTAGTCAGTTTATTTTCTTTTCTAGTCGTTTCAATGAACAACAAACATCTGTCAAGCATCATATATACGTTTCATTGGTTTTTCTTTGTTTGTTAGAGTTTACTTCATATAGTGTAGCTTCTAAATAGGTGTGGGTTAATAATTCAAATCTTATTCTTTAAAAACAAATTTGAAATGGAAAACCCATAGAAACTTATTTTTTAAAGCAGAATCGATCATTCTTATTAACTCATAAATAAATAATTATTTCGTTCGTGCTAAATTTACCACCAAACCTAGAGAATAAGTTTAAATCTATAGGATCTGAACTAATCTTTTATGTTATATAAGAACAAATTTGAGATGAAAAAAATCCCACATTTTTTAAACCACTGATATTAAGTTGAGTTACCTATATTTTAAAATGTATTTGTGCTAGAACTAAATAATGCAAAGGTTAACGGTGTAGTAAACAAATGCCAAACTTTTTAAAGAGACATGATGTCGAAAAGCAACTAATTTCGTTCTAAAATAAACAGTTATTTAAACATGAAGTTTATTTAGTTGTTTTGACTGGTAGTTTGAATTCATAACCCGAGGCTCGGGCAGCTTGGCGCGTACTGCGGAGTTAAGAGAGACTGACGTTAAAAACGATGTACATCAAAACACAACATGGCTGGCAATAAACTCTCCTAACACTTGACTAATCGTCTGATGCCTCGTCTACTTCGATAATGTCTTAAACATAATCCTATAGACTAAATGCTATTAGCAATATATGATTTTATATTTGAGTTTGAAGTTTTACAAAAAGTTAAATATTGTACGGTCGCCAGAAAAAATCTTGTCAGACATTTTATTTTTAGAATAAAGCGCCCAAATCCATCTTGRCTGTTCGTAAGGTATCCTTGCTATTATAGTGGGGGGGAAACCATTATATCAACTTTGAGGCGTGTCAGGTTTTCGCTGCCAAACCTTTGCAATTACGAAGTAGAAGAGAAAACCCTTGGATTTTATTTACATTCTGCATTAAATTTTTCAAGCCTTTTTCTTTGTTTTGCATCGAGAAAAACTGAGATAAAAATCTTCACCAAGTACTGGCTTCCTCCGAAAGTGATTTCTAATATTGAAAAAAGGGTGGTTAAAGAATCCACTTCATAAATATTGTAATTGGTATACTATCTGAAGAGGCTGTTTTTGACTCTAATTCAAGCCTCTTAATCTTTATTGTCTTATTTGATTTATTGCCGAGTTTGAAGAGTAATAAAACGGAAATCCTTATACCGTACACACCCTATACTCTACCCGCGCATGCGCAGGAGTTAGAGCTCAAACATGGCGGATGCTTGAAGACACTTGAAATCTATTCAGCGACTCAAGTGGACTTGGGAAAGATAAGACTGAATGAATAAAGAAATCTTTTGTCAGCCGGCTGACGAAGAATTCAAAGGAACTGATAACTCTTAAGATACACGCGGATGACTCTAATTTTTATTTTTCAATTTAACCTCAATTGGGAGTTTCAGTCATGAACATGAATTGGCTATTAATGATAAGTAGGCCAGTAAAGAGACAGTCAGACAGACAGACTAACAGCCGGCCAGCCAGATCGAGAGAGAGAGAGGCAGGCAGGCAGGCAGGGAGGTATATTTCCATGATAAAGGATTAAAATCATATTCTCTCCAGGGTGATGAATAGTGATGAAATAAAGCTAAACACTCCCCCCTTTGCAATGCAGTTACCCGAGCCCCCCTCCCCCACCACATCTACGTTACGTAAATGCAAATTACACTGAAGATTCAATAGATTTTGTTCCCAAAAGAATTCAGTAATATTATAATTGCATTATAATGGTCTATAATCATATATCTTACCTGCTTAAGTGTCACAGAAAATCAGTATTAAAATTTCTAGACAAAAGATAGACAAAAGATCTCAAAAGATCGCTGAGTTAAAATTCATCTTACCTCAAAAATTTGAAACTATTTCTTGCTTCTACCAACGCAGAGAACATTAAAGCTTAAACACAGGTTATTTCTCTAAAGATCTCCTTTCAAATTCCGCTAAAATCCACAGATTTTTAGCAGTAAATCCTGCAAGAACTGCAACCAAACATTAACAAATTTTCCCGGGCAAATTACCCAGAGATCCCTTCGCGCTTGGTCTCAGATGAGTACGCAGTTTCTGCAAGTCAGCTGTTTTGCCCATGACATCAAGTGTATTTTTAGTCGTCAAGATGGAGGAAGTACAGTAAAATACTTAATCATTCTTGGATCTTTTCTCTTTGATTTACTCTCAAAATATTACCAAAAATGAGCTGGATGAACATATTTGGTGGTAGTTCTTCTAACGTAGCGAAACCTAATATTCCTGCAACGACAGCACTGCAACAACAAAGGTTAAAACAGATCGATACTTTAAAGTCCATCTTTCACAGGTAAAATCATACAAAATTAATTCCGTCATCTTTCAATACCTTTAGAATAAAAAAAAATTTCCTAAGAGTTTAATGAAACATTTCAGTATGAAATAAAGGCGTTGAGCTAACGTCTATACATGAATAATAACGGGATTATAGTGCGCGAGTGAGCTTCGCCTTTATATATAAATGTGTACATCAATTTATATTTTATCAAGACTTATTAGAAATTTTATGAGGATTATTTTGAAATAATAGTTCGACTTATTACATAAATTTAGTTCTATAAGTTTATAACATACTTCTTCGACATATAATTGCAAGTGTGTGTGTTGCCTTGCCTCATTTTCATTTCATCCTTTTCCCATTTCTAATTACACTTTTCATTCCCTTGAGTAGCTTTTCTTTACTTACCAGGAATGATTGCTAACACATTTAATATGGGTAACGATGAAACAAAGGACCTTATTATCAAGGAATGGGTCTTATATACTCACACAGAATCCATGTTTATTATGTTTATAAATTTATTCTCAAGCACTTGAAGCGAGGCTATGTGTGAAAGGATCTATTGTTCCATTCAACATGGCTGTTGCCTGAGTAATGCCCATGGGATGGAAAATGAACAAGTTTTGTATTCATTTTGTTGTTGTTTTGTAGTGTAACTGAAGTCCAGAGAGATGTGGAGTACAGAGTCACATTCAGTGTGGGCACCTCTACTATGTTTCTTAATGTGTATGTATCTTATAAAGAATAAGGTTAAAAATGGTTGTTATCTTATGGAACCCTATTTATAGGGGAGGGGTGGGATGGGTTGGGGTAACCAGGTATAGATCCCTTTCATGTGAAGTCAAAGCAGCTCAATTTTGAGGACAAAACAAAAGAATTTCAATATCCTGAAAATTGGAAACCTTGTTATGTCCTCCAAATTTAGCTGTGGTCCGACCTGCTGCAAGGGGTCTATTCACCACTTCTAGAAGTGAAATCCTGGATTTTGTGAATAGAGTTCTTTGTTGGTTCTCTCCCATTGTCTGATGGTTTTTCTCCAGGCACTCCGGTTTTCCTCCCTCTCCAAATCTCTCTCCACGGCATATGTATTTGTATGTTTTATTACTGATTACTTACTATCTTATCCTGCAGGAATCTACCTCCTCAATTCCCAAATGAAAAACCTATTGTTAAGGTATCACCTCCAGTACACCATCCTTGGGTCAGTGACCAGGTCAGTCCTATATATATAGCTAAAATACAATTGTAGTTACAGTTCATATGTCAAAACCCACAGATGAACCGTGCTCACTAACAGTTTAAGTGTTGCTACCCTGATAACTATATATTATATTTACTATTTATCAACTCACTGTCTTGCCTATCTTTAGATGGTAGTGACAGGATGTCCTGCATTAAATATGGTAAGTTGTTGAGCTTCTATCAAACTTCAATGCCATAAATATATGTTTACTGGAAGTACATATTTTTAACAGGTGACCAGCAGGAAAATCTTTCCTTCATGTTTATATATTTTTTTGTTGATAGTTCTATATGCACTCTAGTCTTGGGAAGGCAGTGCAAGATGTTGTGCGGGAGTTTTCAGAACACCCACCACAGCTTATTACTCAACCAACAACAGGATCACAACCTTCTATGTAAGTTTATTAAGAATAATTGAACTTCATACAACTTTTCCAGTGGACAACCTCCTTACCACAATATATAGGTCTGCATGATTGGCCATTGGCCTTGTCAGATAGGAAAACAATAAAACCCCTTTTCTCATGGGAATTGAATTCTTTCTCATGTAAAACAATAGACTTCTTTATCTTGAGTGTAATGTTTATTCATTTCATACCACATGTCATTCCCTAGAGTATCTTTTCTTTGTTTAATGGTTGCTCATGAGAAGACAAATGCATATGGATACAAATTAAAGTATCTTATTTTCAAGAGAATGACATGGTTTGAAATGGGAAACATTATGCCCAAGGCAATGGAGCCCTGCCATTATGTGAACATGGGAAACCTTTGTCATTTTCATTTTTGTATTTAGGCCATCATCAGGAATAGTTGGTGGTTATCAGCCCTCGTCTACATACAGTTTTTCTGGATATCAGCCCCAGGTTACACCATTTTCATCAACAGGGTATGGTGGAGTACCCAATACTAATCATATGTTTCCAATGACCTCAACTTCTGGGGTAACCCCTGTTAGTTCTACACAGGTAAAGATTCAAATTTTGATATCATTTATGTGTTTTGTTCAGCACCTCAATAAAAACCTTCAAATTTTCTAAGAACAACCTCTGGGCTGACCTAAGTCTGGGCATGGCTAACTCAGAGATCAAACCCTGAAACAACCTCTGGGCTGACCTAAGTCTGGGCATGGCTAACTTACAGATCAAACCCTGAAACAACCTCTGGGCTGATCAAAGTCAGGACATGGCTAACTCACAGATCAAAACCTGAAACCACCTCTGGGCTGATCAAAGTCAGGGCATGGCTAACTCACAGATCAAACCCTGAAACCACCTCTTGGCTGATCAAAGTCAGGGCATGGCTAACTCACAGATCAAACCCTGAAACCACCTCTGGGCTGATCAAAGTCAGGGCATGGCTAACTCACAGATCAAATTGTAATTTACCTTGTTCAATAAAGGTCACAATCCTTTGTTCCAAATGACTTTTTCACCTTCCATGTTTGTTTATATTGGATGTTTATTATGTTATAAATCTGCTATGGGTAAAATAATTTCAGTTTTTATCACACTTATGTGATTGACAAATGGTTTATGTTACGTTATAGAGAAATTCTCCTAATTCTGATGAGGTACCAACTTGTACTTCACAAGAGTTTCCAGAATTGAATGGATTAAGGTGAGAATGATCCCTATTTCCTCAGGAATTTTTCTTTCCTCTCCCTCTTTCTTTTTCCATCTTTCTTTCTTTCCCTCTTTCTCCTTTCCATATTCTGCCCCTTCCTTTCCTCGACCCTTCTATTCCCTCTTCTCCCTTCCCTCCACTTTTCCTCCAGAAAAAGAGGTCATGTGGGCAGAAATTATGAAAATATCCACTCTACATACCAGTGGCGGATCCAGGGGAGGGGTGCAGGGGGTGCGCACCCCTCCCTGGTTCAACTTTGTGGCCCTACTTCGAAGATAACCAATACAAAATAATGTTTTTTCCCTTTGGTTCTAAGGGGTGCACCCCTCCCTGGGTTAACTTTGTGCGCAGCACTCCTCCCTGAACAAATTCCTGGATCCGTCCCTGCATACAGTTGAGTCTTTTCTTAACATGTCTGAAACAATTCCTTTTTCAGTTTAATAGAATTGAAGGAACTAAATGACAATAAAGAATTACTAGAAGAGTTTGTTAAAAGTAAATTAGAACCAGTAAGTGACATTGCTTTTTTATCTTTAAGTGTTTAATTTTACCTTAGTTTTTTATGTGGAATGCGTTTTGACATATAGATTTGTCCTTGTGTAGCATCACATTCATTTGTTTCAGGATGAGTTTTCCATGGATAATGAATAATGGTTTTATTCTCATGAAAATAAAATCATGGGTGCTGCATAATGAAGATCCAATGGAATGTACAATAGACCTCCTCGGCTCTGGCATAGTGTTGTCCTATTTCAGACCAGGTGTCATTCCCTAGAGTATCATTTCTTTGTTTAACAGTTGCACTCAGCTGCACATGAGAAATCACATGAATTTGGATACAACTCCAACAAAAAATCTTATTCTCGAGGAAATGACACATTGTCTGAAATGGGACAACATTATGCCCGAGCCGAGGTGGTCTATACATCTTAAATTCATCATATTAAATCCTCATTTCTTTATCTTACCTACAAGGTAAAGAAACTTCAAGTAAAAAAAGAAGACATCACTAAAGAGAATGAACTAATTGCTAGTAAGTGTGGATTAAAATTCTGATTTGTGCTTCAGCATTGTGCTTCAGTCCAAGAGAATTGATAAAGAAGTGTTGCGAAGTCAACTTTAGCCTGCGCATTCTAACTTTTAACTCTAGCTAAGACATTTAATTCAGGCTGCATGCAGGCCAAGACATCTGCAGATTGGGAACATTTTTTCACAGTTGTCATAGACACATGAAAGATTGCATCGTAGTAGCGTTCAATTTGTTTCACAAAAATAGAGGTTAGAGTATAGCATAGTATAGAGTTAATGTTCTTAATTTCTATTTCTTTTAGGAAATAACTTATCATTACAACCAAAATTTGAAGCTTTAAAACACAGCATTTTAACAAATGTAAGTAGAAAGGGAAAAGATGATGATGATAATGATGATGATGGTTGGTGATGATGCTGTTGCTAATAGTGGTGATCAAGATGATGAAAGTGGTGATGATGATGTTGGTGGTGATGATGATGGCGATGATGTGGTGTTGGTGATGATGATGCCATTGCTGATAGTATTGATGCTGCTGATAGTATTGATGCTGATGACGATGGTGGTGTTGATGAGGATGCAATGAATAATCAATTCAAATTAGTTTTGTAGAAATTGTGTTCTTGCAGATGGCTTAACTCTTTCTTGCTTAATCATATATAGCACGAGTTACAATCATCATTGACAACAGAATTTGCTCAAAGAAGTCAAAAACAAAAATACTTATCAGAGGTTTGTACTTGGAATTGTATGAAAAATAATTCAACCTTCACTTGTTCCACCCTTTTCTTAAAATAAGAACGAACACTAAATACTTATGTACAAGAATGGAAAGCTAGAAAGGTATTGATATACCAGACTTGGTAGAACTTTTCCCTCCATTCCTCCTCCTATGCCCAATGCAAGATTACTTACCCCACCGCCCCTTTTGTAGACCCTATTAATAAATTCATTTATTAAGAAATGAAATTTATTGTTTTCAATTTCATTCAAAAGAATAAATTTGACATAAAACACAGAAAATATACCCTGCCAGCAGAGGTTTTTTTCTGATCCTCCTTGGGCTGGCTGGCTGGTTGGGGAAAAAATATTTTTTCTCTCCGACTAGCCAGCCCACGGAGGGTCAGAAAAAAACCTCTGCTCGCAGGGTACAGAAAATAAGGCATGCCTGGCATAGCAGGATTTATTAGAAGTGTCTGTAGCTCTGGCTTTTAGGTATAAATGCACCATTAAGGTAAAGACACTTGCCTTGCATCGTTGACTGCCCCCTCCTCCCTTCAGTCCATTTTGGGTCACCATTGATAACCACACCCATCTTGCCTTCTAGATTTACTCGATTAGCAGTATTCACACCAACATGGAACTAGCTGCTGCAGAGGCAGATCAGGACTCGGAGGTACTTATCAACCTATATTTTTATCATTCAATTCATCTTTCTACCATGATATTCTAAGCACATTAGATCATATTTTTATATATTTTGTGCTATATAAATAATAAATTGTAATCATCATCATCACTATTACTACTATCACTGTCACTATCACTTTCACTATTTACATTTTTGAGTATTTACGTGTTGTACCTTGTTTCACAGGCAATTGCTGACAGTTTCCTGAATGGTAAGTGCATAATAGAATCACACGACTAACATTATTAGGGCCATGTTAGTATAAAACTAATATAGAGACTAATACAAATGCTTTAATCTACTTTTTTACAGGTGAAATCAAAACAGATGAATTTATTCAGACTTATATGGAAAAAAGAAAGGTACAGAATAGCACAATGCACAGAATAGACCTCTTTATCTTGGAAATAAGGTTTCTCCTTTTAGACCATATCATTCTCTTGGATAGGATTTTTTGTTCAACTTATATATTCATGTTCATGTCGGGGGTAAAAGTGGTAAAAGTGGTGACAACCCCCCCCCAATATACACACACGCACATTAGATGGAAAAACATTATACTGTAGCTAAATTAAAAGAGGTCTGCTGGTGATAAATCGCAGTGAAGTTGATGCAAATTTGCACTACTAGATTTCAAGCATGTTTGGATTTGCAGCGATTTGGCTACAATCAGTTGCCATAAATTAGCAATATTGAAATCGCTGCTTAAGAAAACGGGCCTTCAGAGTTCCTTCTTGCAAGGCTAAAACTAATATCTAAACCTTCAATATCTAATTGTTTTTCAGCTTTGCCACTTGAGAAGAGCAAAGGAAGAAAAGATGAGATACCTACATACTCATTTTTAAAGAGGGAGAGGAAAAAATAATCTAGCTCTTTGGATCCCTTGCACTAAATAAGATTGTTCAGGGAAGACACCATTTGAGATCAGGATAATACACTTCGTTGGCATACCATCAATTTGGTAGAAAATTGAGCATAAAAGGTATAGCTGTCTTGAGCATTAAGAGGACTCACACCTGCTTAAACACTGTATGCTACTACTCATCCACGTTATGCAGAACAAGTGAATGGTGGACCCTTGCTCAATCAAGGCAGCAGCAATGAAGTTATTTTTTCTGGTGCTTTGGCTTCCCTTAATAGACCTTATTTGTCTTTGTGCAATGCTTTCCCATTACAGACAATGTGTCATTCCCTAGAGTATCATTTCTTTGTTTAATGACGGTTGCACATGAGAGGACATCAAATGAATATGAATACCACTTAAATAAAGAATATTTTTATCTAGGGAATGATACATAGTCTGAAGTGGAAAAACATTGCACCATGATGAATAAGGGCTATCAGTCTTACAGTAGTCCGGGTATTACATTTTGATCATTAGCAGAAGTCCATAACTATCTGGTTATGAACTCATGTCATTAGGATAAAAAGTACCAGTTATTCAAAACGAGCTATAACTGAATTATCTTCAATGTTTTTAATGATGTCCGCAAGGTCGATTAGCCGGTCTCCTACAACCAACTTCATTTCAAACACAGAAATTAGAAAACCTAGGTTATTCAGCGGTGTTTTGCTGCCACGAGCAATAGAGATGACTACATTGCTTACTGAGGAATATCAATTTATTCTCAAATGCAAATGGTATATTTACAATTTCATCAAAGCATGTCAAATCACTAAGTGGCATAGTAAGGTTCAAAAAAGAGACCTTGGAAAACCATGACGAATGAATGTTTTATGTATAAGAATAAAATATAAATTTATACAACATTAAAATGTATTTGACTAATTTTTTTCAATATTTCCGAGCTTCAACAGGCAAGTTGCTCTTATAAATCACGTGATCGTGATACGTAATCTTGGGTGTTAAAAAACCATGTAAAAACCAGCATTCCGAGGTTGAGGAAAAACTGGGTTGAGTTAGTATTGCATTGCATTGCATTGTGAGACGGTTTTAAGGAAAAATTTCCAAGATGGCATATATTTCATCCGCTGAACAGTCCTGCAATGTACTGCTATGCCAACATTTAATACCAGTTTTTTCCCTCAACCTCTGAATGGGTAATACCCAACTCCTAGTCATCCAAGATGGCGGTGACTGATCACATGATTTATAAGTGCATATATCGCCAATCCATGCAGGGAGGAGGGAAGGAAAATCTCCGTCCCACCTTCCTGATCTACCACAAAACAAAACTCAATACTATTCTTTCTTGGGATTGCGAACTCGTTCAAACTTTTCAAAAACGTTAAGAAATTTAAAACTCTTACACTCGATGCGTTTGCAAGTGTACGCAATCCCAAGAAAGGTCAGCCTAAAATTGGACTTTTGGCCTACCTTCATCAAGAGACCCCTAGTATCCTCTGAGAAATAATATTTACAAAAATCTGAATTTGTACAAAATAAGTCGGAGAGCATAAATGTTTTGAACGCATGAGAAAAGACATAGTAGATCCTGGAACAAATCGTATTGCTGTTGACCAACCAATGATCCTATCAAGCGCTCATGTAAAGAAGAGGGTCAAACTAATTACCAATTTTTTTCTGCATATGAAGTCAAAACTAAGGTTACTAATTAAGCTTTTTAACCACAAATTGCCAGGAAAGTCTTTCATTCTGTGATGATTTATAAATCTCTTGGTACGCTGCTAGGAGGATTTGCCTTGATTCGTTTCAGTTCCTCAAGCAGCTGTTCTTTTTTCTCGTTCAATCTGTGAATTTGTTTCAGTTCCTCAAGCAGCTGTTCTTTTTTCTCGTTCAATCTGTGAATTTTACTTTCTCTAAGCTGTGAACTTCTCTCTGGAATGAATATATTCTCCTCGCCATCGTCTCCACTTAACGCCGCCATTTCCTTGACGCCGCCATCTTGGCTATAAAGTGAGTTTTCATTTGAAGGTGAATCAGACACTTCTAAGTCACTAAGCAATAGATCTTGAGTGGGTCTGTCTATATCATCTGTAGGATATATTGAAGATGTAGGGTCTTGGTTGCTTTGAATGGCTCTCTTAAGCCGTCCTGATGCAAGGGTTTTAAATATTGGAGAAATCTTGATGGCTTCATTTATAATTCTTTCATCGTTGTCATCAACTTCATCTTCATCCTCAATAATTCTCAGCTCTAAAAGCGCTCGTTTTTTTGGCGGGGGAGAAGACTCGGGTAGTCTAGAGAACCATTCCTTGCCCTCCGTTAACCCTTGTATTTCAGTTCCATCAGTCAATAGACTTTCAAAGGCTGATCGTTTTTGGTCAGAAGGGCCTCCGGTTCGCTTCCAACGTCTTCTGAAGACTGCCTTGTGCGAGCTTTCGTCCAGTTCCATGGTCCAAACATCATCAGAATCTGATTCAGTCACCTTGCAATCCCCAGCATGTTTCTTCCTTCTGATTTCAGTAGTTGCTAAAGGGTCTTTGATTATGTTAGACAGTCCCGGTGAAAGTCGTTGGGATCCCTCCCTATTCGTGCTCAATTCGCCGTCGATCTGATTGTGTTTTTTATCTGAAATACTATTTTCACTGGCACTAGCATTATTTGAACTATTTTTTTCTCGATTCATCATATTTTTTGCACAGTAGTTTTCTTCTTGATCCTCGGGTTTTTCAGGAGAGGTTTCATCAGGACCAACTAATTTCTTTCTTCGGTCGAACAATTTCACCCTGTCAAAGAGATTCACCAGAATACGAGGCTGCAACAACGTGGTTTTATCAAGAATTTTGGGAGACGTTTGACAAGGGTTTGCGAAGGAAGAAAGTAGACTTGCAGAATCTTCAGGCAAAGAAGATGGGTCATTGTCGACCGTTACCCGCATGGTGTCGGTTTTGTTTCCTATGTTACTATTTGACGTTATCATGGTAGCATTTGTTGATGTCATAGTGATAGTAGCATTTGCGTTAGATACTACATCAGTGTTGGTCTCCATGATCGAACTTGTATTTGTCTCAGCACAAAAAGATGATGTCATGTTAGTGCATATAGCATCACTTTCCTGCTCAGCGCTATTACTGTTGGTTTCCATGGTAGCATTCGGTGTTTCCTCCCCATCAATCTCAGTTTCCATGTTGATCTCTGGTGATAACATTCTCACGTCACTTTCCGTTTCCATGGTGATCTTGGGTGGTGCAGCCCCATCACTCGGAGTGTCCTTAGTGATCTTTGTTGCTGTCACCTTATCACTCTTGGTTGCCATGGTGATCTTTGGTGCGGTCTCCATGGTAATGTTTGGGGATTTCATCCTGGTTTCTGAAGAAATATTCCGTGAGGTTACGAAATCACTCATTGACTCGAAATTACTAGAAGTCCTGGGTATGTCATTTTTGGTTTCCATCGTGGTCTCCTCTACATCTTCGTTTTTCGTCACGATACCAACTGTCACCTCATTGACTTTACTGCTGTCCTTTCCGCCGTCAGTCGGCAATTCCCTGGCTTTGGGTGTGTTTGTGCCGTCCCTATTCAATCTCAGCTTCTCTAGTTTTGCTCGCGCTTCTAATATCTGATTTAATATTTTAAATTTCTTGATGTCATCGGTTTCTTGATTGAAATCTATTTGCCATGCATTAATCATTCTTAATAATCTTCTTATCATCATCTCTCGATCAATAACATCTTTTGGCTGCGCAGCTTCTTCTTGGCCAACATTTGTAACAGTTTTAGCCTCGTTCTGGTGTTTAGCCATGTAATATTTAGGTGACTCGGGCAATTGAGCATTTGGGCTTACTGCTTCACATTTATCCAAAGACTTCGTTGATTGGTCCTACGGTAAAACATTAAAATTAGCTGATCATTCCACGTCTACTCTATTCTATTCATTCATTTATTCATCCATCCATCCATTCTTCCCTTCCTCCCTCACTCCTATTCATCCTTCTTCCATTAATGAYATTCATTCATCTGTTCTCTCGATCAAGTTTATTAACATTCTCTTCATTTCTCAGTGTGTTTGTTTAAAATTTCTTTTATTAAATCAGGTTTGACTGAGACGTAACTGTGACCGGATTCAGTAAAAGACTAAAGCTAAGACTCAGCTCAGTGCAAAAGAAAAAAATAAGCAAGTCTCGGCAATACCCACCTTGTCATTGTCTTCTATCTTCATATACTCCGCAGTCTTTTCTGACGGATCACTGGTCTTTTCTGTCTCAGCCAACGTATATTCTGTCTTTGGATCAATGGAGGAGTAGCGATTCTCCAAACACACCTTGAACACAAGAACCGATATGAATATCTTTGTGGTATATGCGACGTCACAAACGCCATGCTTAATAACGGTAAACAAGTGATTTGATCTCATTTTAAATGTTAATCAACACGATGTCTTTAAATTAACTTTTTTTTATAGAGGATAACACTTGACAGTAATTCAACTGCTAAACTCGTGGTTCTCTTTTAACATATCGTGGTCATCCGAGCCACGTGAAGGTCTAACCATTTGCAGATGTAATTACAAAGGCAGCACCTTCTCCTTGGTCCGGCCGAGGCTTGAACCACGACCTCCCGCACTCTTACAACTGAGCTAACCGGATGGCGGTGGCTATTGTCCTCTTATTTTCATGAGAAGAGACGGCAGGTTTCTATTTTTAGAAATGACGTCACATGACGTAAACAATAGATTTGGTTCTTGTTTTTAATGCCAATCAACATGGTGGCCATGTCTTTTATCCTATCATTTTCATGACATCAGGCACAGACGTCAGGCTCTTATTTTTAGTTTCTCTACTTTTAATGCTGTCTTATTCCAAACTGACATATCAAGARCCTCGTGTTAGCAGTTAGCTATCATATCTTTAAGTACCTAGCATCCCGGGTATAAGACCAGTGGGCTTATACAATGGACTAGTTCGATGATATGGCGGCCGTTTTGCCAGGGGGAAAAACGAAACAAAAAATATTGTAACCGGAGGATGGGACTTATGACATGGGTTCTATGGTATGTTTTCCTTTCGCCTCTGAAAAATCTTTACAAGATAGCGCGGAGCTCCGCGAAACATCAAGCGGAGCGCAGAAATAGAGCGCGATAGTTGCAAATGATTCTTAAATAATAAGATTATATATACTTTCAATTACCTTCGGTGATGATCTTGGATAAGTAATAGTATCACTGCAGGCCGACTCTTCGGCATAAACAGTGGGTAGTTTTGACTCCAATGGTAACAACGTTGCTCCTTGTAACTGCTCGCTCACAAACACAGGAGACGATGGTAAAGAATGAACAGAAACAATTTTGGGCAAATCATGATGATCATACGCAACCCCTCCCGGTCGCAATGGAGTACTACTGATTGATCCTTTCGAAGTCAGGGTAGTGCTTGTCTTGAAAGTGGGTGGAGGTGATAGGTCTGATGGAATGTTGTGAATCTCCGTTAGTGGGTATGTGCGGGATTCGGGATAACACGCGGGATGCTGGATATGCTGTGGTTCTGTCGGTATAGGAGGATGAAATGGTCGTTCCAGGTGTGTTGGTTGCGTGAATATTAGAGGAGCACCTGGTCCAAAATCAATTTAAAAAACAATGATTGGTAAGCAATCGTTCCAATAGGTTTGTAAC